GTCAAAATATGCTTAAAGTCATATGCGTATACATATTTGAAGACAGTTAATCCCTTTTATAAATTTTGATAGCATTATTAGAAGACGGAGATTATCTGAAAAACAATGTGATGTATTTGCGCTATACATTTCAAACGTTTACATGCCTTATATTGAAAACTTATCCTCTGATTTAATTTCTAAATTGCCTTTCTATAAGAGATATGTAGATGACATCATTTTGATATGCGACAATCATGAAGATGCGAGTCGTCTATTAGACAGACTTAACTTTGTACAGAATCATGTTAGTCTTACATGCGAGGAAGAAAGTCGCAACCAGCTCGAATTTTTAGACATACACTTCTGAGTCGAAGAGACGATAGCTCAATAAGACGGTCTATCTAAAGAAAGCCCACTTGGACAGGGCAATACCGTAATTTTCACAGCTTCTGTCCATTACAGTATAGGAGAGGCTTGGTGAAGTGTCTATTTAAGAGGATTCAGCGTATTTGCACGGCTGATGTTATAGACAAAGAAAACGAAATATTGATGGATACTCTTGTTGAAAACGGGAATATCCTTTGAAATTTTTGAACAGGTGTAGAAGTCAACTAGCCTCTAAACCTACAATCCATACCGTCCCTAAGAAAAAGGTTTCCATCAAATTACCATATAACGGGGAAATAAATAGTAGGATTTTGAGGCAAAGGTTGAATTCGATCATACGTAGAACCTACTGTGCAGCCCAGCTTGTAATTGTGGAAAAAGCTAAAAATATGCTTCACTGGAAACCTCAAAAGTGCACAAGTGATTATGTCACATCCCACACTATTTACCAATTTTCGTGTGTGTGTGGTCACACATACATAGGGAGGAGTAATCGCGCGTTGCACGTCAGGGTGGGAGAGCATATCCCAAAGTGGTTAGGAAAACAGATGAATTGTGACAAGCCAATAGATGCAGGTGTCAGACTACCAACTTCGTCTAAAACTAAACATCTAATCGACATGAATGATAAGACTGATGTTAACTCAGCCTTTAGGGTCATCTATAAAAACGGTCAAGGACGTTTACTGAAATACACTGAGGCTATAGCCATTCATAAACTTAAGCCCCCCCTTGTGTATTCAAAAACAGTTTGTTATTACTCTTAACCTACCTTGGTAATCCTTATTTGATTGGATTACCAAACGTTTGTGTTAATTATTCTTAATTCCTTTTTTTGTCACCTTGTTTAATTTAACTTTTCCATATATATTGAATTGACAAGTAAATGTGTGATCAGATTGTTCGAAATGTATAGCGCTAATACATCACATTTTTCAGATAATCTCCGTCTTCTACTAATGCTATCAAAATATTTGAAGACATCAAATTCACAAGAGAAGGAGAATTAGACGACAACGAAATCCCATTTCAGATGTCTTAATCAGGAGAACTAACACAGGAGATTTAGAAACACAAGTATATAGAAAATCAACGCACACAAACTGATGAAATACTGAGCTATACTAGCAATAATCCAACCCAATTACACACAAAAGAAACTGTGTGCGGACATTGTTTAAAAGAGAGTTCAAACACACTGTAGCACTACTCCAGAGTTGAAAAGAATGAAGGAAAAGTACCTACCAACCGACAGTCTTCAAAAAGAATGGTTATCCACAAAATTTCATCAAAAAGTGTTTAAAGTCGAATCAAAACACCAACAAGAAACCATCATCAAATACTACAAAAAAATTCATCCTAACACATATGAAAAATATCTTGGAAATAACAGCTAGAATACTGAAACCGTTTGAAATACATACAGTACACAAGCCAGGCAAAGCGCTTAATTTGCTATTATGCAAACCGAAAGATCCAACAGAAAAAGGAAATAAAATTAATACCATTTACAAAATAAATTGCATGCATGAACTGTAACAGACATTACATCGGCCAAAGTGGGCGTCCCCTTCGAATCAGAATCCAAGAACACAAATCAATGCATATAGACAATTATGGACATCAATTTGATGACTGGGATAATGTCGAAATCTTAGACACAGGAAACACCAAAAGTACTGTCAGGGAATTCCCAGAAGCCTCGTACTCAAACGAAAATGCAATTAACAAACACGTTTGAATATAGACCAAATATACCAACTAATAAAAAGTAAATCAGGTGACCAGAAAGTTTAAAATCCAAGTTAATACAAAATGGTCGATACAGATGTAAAGATGGTTACCGGGAGATATGATTCTATCACTCATGAAGAAATTTAAATTATTTCACTTTATGCTAAATATTGTGCTGAAGGAGGATATTGTCCAGATAAGGGGACGATGAAAGCTCTGCAACTAAACCAACCAGCTCAGAGAACACTATTAATTGCAAATCATATACGTACATATATATATATATATACAAGCTACAGGCTTGAAGTTTCTGTAGCAGTGTTTGTTTTTACAGGGTGGGGTTGCTAGCCAGCCTCATACCCTACCTTTCCTCTTCACCAGCTTTATTTCTGGCTTAGCGAGGTAAAGCGATACACTGGCTGGGAATCAAACCTCGGACCATTTGCATGGTTGGTGAGCGTGTTAACCGCTGTGCCACCGATGCACCATTTAAAAATATCTTTTATTATTACCATTATCTTAACCCGTTTCAACATTATTATAGTTGTTACTATTATTAGCGTTACCATTGTAATAGCTGAAGGTAAGACACGGAAGCAAATGTATATTTTCAAATGAACCAACCGCTCTTTATATCTATACAGTTTATATTCAGTTTAAGCAATCACTGACCGTGTGATTTTGGTTTACATAAAAAGACATGAAATAGAATGTTGAAATAGATATATCGTATTCTGAACGAAGAATATTCTTTTCATTAATTTCTCTTCAGCTTCTTACAATTATAAAATATAATATTTGTTGTCGGGGGGAAATTAAGTGCATATAAAGCTCGATCCTGTCACACTTGGTCGATACTGGACATCATATCGATGTCAACACAGCTTTCAGGGTTATATACCGAATTCCGAAGTCGTTATCACGTACAGTTCGCTTACATCTTCTACACATAGCTGTAGCTGTTGCAATAAGATTGACTAAACCGGAACTTTGTATCTAAAAAGAACACGTCCAGACACTGTTCCTACCGTGGCCAAACTTGGATTGATGATCCTTCTTCTCACCAAGAGTGCTCCTTCCCCTTAACCCTCTTGGCTTTTTTTTCCTTTGCTTATTACTACAATTATTATTATTACAATTATTATTACTATTCGTCGTAATTTATACCCTTTATGCAAACATTCTCTCAGTATTATCGAATTTTTCATTTATACTATCTGGACTTATTATTAGTGATATTATCTCTTTTCTCAATATATGCCTCCACCTGTTTCATTTCACATATTCGTTATCTCATTATGAACCTCCCAATGCAGTCTTACTATCTCCTGTTTAACACAGACCACTTTGTACTAGCCACTCACCTGACACCTTTTATAACCTTGAACTGACTTGTCAATGTTTCTACCCCACACTCTACGAATCTATAATGACTAATCACCACCACTATTGTCTCCCATTTCACCAAAATATTTTATAATCGATTTCAGTTCAGAGCACGTTTGTCACACAAACACGACAATTTATTTTGACACCCCATAACTACTAATCTGTTATTCTACGTTAAAAATGTATCTGCCGCATAACTGGCCTTATTGTAACGACAACAAATATTATATTTTATAATTGTAAGAACCTGAATAGGAGAAATTATTGAAAAGAATATTCTTCGTTCAGATTGACTTTTAATTCATAAAATGGGAATTTTCCACAGTATCAAATCATATCGTATTCTGTTGCTGATGCAGTATTGAACTGTGGGAATAAGTGAGAATAATATTCTGTTGGAACACACTGTCTGCATCACACCACCACACAATTATTATCAATATTATTTATTCAGTTTGAAATTCTTGAACTCTCAGCTTCTTTCACTCACTGACAACTGGCTAATTGTTCATTCAATTGACGTATTTGAGTCGTACTGCATTTTATGGTGATTATATATATTAACTTTTCCTGTTTGATTACTAATCAATGATCCTTTTTGATAAGTTGGGTGTTATTGTTAGCATTAGATGGTTGAAGGCAATCGACAGGAAGCCTTGCTAATTGGCACTGACCCGTCAGTTAGCAAGGTGTATCTGCAACCTTGAAGGAACAACTCATGTCCCTTCTGAAATTCGAACCCCTGTCACCCAGCACTGCAGTCAGTGACTTTTCCACCACTGGGCAGTTCCGCCTCATAATCGACCTCTTGTAGGAATGACTAGACACATTACACTAGTTACCGACTGGTGCCCAATCACAAATATCAAATACAGCTAGCCCAAATAGCTCAGTGGTGGCAACGTCTCTGATTGCAGGACTCACTGGGTGACGCGGGTTCGAATCCCAGAGAAGAGACATGAGTTCCTTCAAGGCTACAGATGCACCTTTCTGCCGATCGCCTTCAACCGCTTAACACGAACTATTCACGGTACACCGCGATAGTGAGCCACCTAGTGGCATCGTGGCGATATTACAAACTTGACTGATGACGGAATTCAGTCTGCACCACAGATAGGACTAGGCACATTACACTAGTTACTGGGTGTAGTTATATTTTGTATACTGGTATTAACCATGTTTTTAGTTATATGCACAACTGACAAGAACCAACAATATATAGCAATGATGATCTCAGATTATTGTGCTGACTGTACCGATCTTCCATTGTTCAGATCAATCAAGCGATTGAAATAAGGCCATTGAAAAAAGCTCTTTAGAGCGAAAAAGAAATTCAATACTTTAATTATATATTTTGTTTTTAATCATTTGAATATTACATAATTCATCATACATGTATATGTGTTTACCTAAAACAGTTTCATTTACATTTTTTGTTTTAATTTGATCCATAAATTTGCTCCTGCTCACCGACCGCCCAACCACCCCCCTCTCCTCGGTGTCACTATTTAAACAATATCTGGTATTCTATACACCAAAAATATTCGATCATCTTTAATGAAACAGAAGTTGTAACCAGTTTCATGACAATAATGCGAAAAATATCGACCATAGACAATGATCACATTCCATAGCTTGCCGTAGTATTTGTCCAATTGCTTTTTCAAATATTCCGCTAATTTCTAGTAATGAAAAAAGAAAAGGAATTGAAAATGAAGGAATAAGTAGTATTGAATGACTGCGAACAATGCTTCAGAATTCATCTTAATTAGCAAGATTGTCGGTGAAGTCTGTGTTAGAGAAAAATGAAAAGTTATACCACGGATTGAAAGCAGATTTAAAGGATTAATACGATCCAGGAGAAAGTACTGAACAGCTGTCTAATTCTGGCTTTTGGACTGCTCAGCAGTACGAGACCATGATGTGACTAGGGCGGGGGACCAAGCCTAGAAACTTCACGTTACGAAGGTATCCCAACGACCACTGAGTCACTTGGACGGATTTTCATATGTATATATATATACTTATATACATATATGTTGTTTTTAATAAATTTTATCCGGTGAGGGAATTGGATCATAGGTGTGAATCCATAAAATAATAATAATAAAAGTAGTATGAAATGAAATTAAAACTAAAATGTTTGTGATCATAATCGTATTTAAATGTCAAATGGCAAAACAATTAATGTCATATATAGAATAATTCATAGGATGGATAGAACTTGAAAAAGGATGTGCAATTATAGGATTAGTAGGCAAATTGAATAAAATAAAAACGTTACATAATATTGTGTGAAATTTGATAACATGGAATTTAACGTTGCAAAACAGAATTGATTTAGAATGACAAGTGGAACAAGTGAAATAATACCGGGGACAATTAAAAGTGAGAGTAGTAATAGTAACAATTGACTTAATACGGAAGAGTATACAAATTGAATAGACAAAAATGAAAAATTGGAGAGTTGGTAGAGCTAAAATATGATTGGAGATTAACATACTTTAGCATAGAGGTATTAAGACCATGAAAGTTGGAGGGGTTGAACGAACTTTTTCTGTACACAGAGATCTGGCGTCTCTGTTTCGATGGTCAAAGCTTCAGCTATACAGATGAGTCGGATATGTAATGATTTAAGTAACTAATTTTTCGCCTTGTAGATGGCTTTAAAGACGGAGGAGGCTGTAGAGATAGGGTGATCATTATCGATCAGATGTTCAATGATAGCACTCCTTACAGCTTAACTTCTACCTCTTCGTAATCATGTAGGATAGTATTGTTGCTGTTACTATTCTCACTTTGAATTGGCACCCGGTATTATTTCACTCATTCCACTTGTCATACTAAGTCACTTCTGTTTTGCAACGTCAAATTCTATGTTATCGAGTTTCACACATTACTACGTAACTCCTTGATTTTTATTCTATTTGATTGCATGGAGGATTTCATCATGAGATGACATCGATTAGAGAACCACTGGAAAACCTGGGACTACTGGATAGATGTTTAATCAGCCTAGTTTGGGGATCTTCAGCAGTACGCACACACCACAGTGGGGTTCGAATCCCGGAACTTCTGGTTACAAGGCAAGTAAGCTTGTAGACCATTAAGCCACTGGGACCCACCGATCCAATAGCCAGCCCATGAGTTCTAACTTCTGGCAATTTGTGACATTGTGCGATTTTTTCGCAATGTCTTCTTCGATGAGTTACTGCCTCACCTTCAACCTGTTGTACCCTACTGTTCACGGCTTTCCACTTGAACCCCAGGTCACTGCCTGAATAGGGCCAGTTACTAGTGAGCATAAGATTAATTTTCAAGTACTGGTTCTATTATATCGGTTCTATTCTATTCGCCTACTAATCCTATAATTGCACACCTCTTCCAGTCCTGTACATCCTATGAATTATTCGATATATACGACATTGATTGTTTTGCCACTTAACATTCAACTATGATTATGAACACAAACATTTTAATTGCATTTTATACTAATATTATTATTTTATGCATTCACACCAATCATACAGTTCCTTCACCGGGTATAATTTCTTAAGGAAAATTATATATATATATATATATATATATATATATATATATATATATATAGCGCCTTCACCAAAGCTGCGGTGAGACACCTGTCCAGCACTCTCTGTTACCTTTCAGTGGTTCTCTAACTGATATTCCCATAGTATCAGTTACACTACGCTTCATGCATTACACTACAATCGTTGTTCCCTTTGGGTTCCTAGTGGGACATGCAGCTTCAACAACATCAGTATCGATATTTCAATCCAGCAATCTGACTTAATATCACTTATCTAGGCAGATGGTCTCAACTACAGGCAGAACAATTGAGAATATCAAAGCCAGTCAGGATCCAAAGAAATTCTGAAATCAGTTTGAAAATCTACCGCACTCAACCTGAAGAACAACCAGCCAAATTCTGTCCAAATCTAACGTCAATCCAGTGCTTCTATGTGAATAAGGGATAAGGTGTGTCATGAAAAGCAGTCTCAACAGGCGATTACTTAATTGTTGTTAGGCAGTTGGAGGAAATTTGCAGGGAGCGTTGGGCCTAGATTTCGTCCTTGTTGGCACTCCTCAGTGAGATGCAACTGTATCCTAGAAGGAAATCCTGTCCCGAGTCAACCACTGTCGCAGTTAGATATTTTACCACTGAGCTATTCGGGCCGGCCATTGACCTGCTGCTGGAACTACAGTGGATACTTTGATATGACATTTGGTGGTAATTAATGTCATGTGTCTAGTTTTTGGTGTTGATGCAGGCTGAATTCCGTCAGTCAAGTTTGCAATATGGCAACCACAACCTGCTGGCTGTGTCTCACCCAATATCAACTGTCAGTATTTCTTGAGGATCGAGAAGAAACGACTTCAACTGTGTTTATTAAATACAATGTGACATTATTATAATGATTATTCTGTAAGGTTCCTAGTGAAATGTAGGGCTTCAACAGCACATATCCATTTTAATCTCTCCTCTGCTGTAGTTTCTTTAGCTACCTCGATGACTGCCAACGCAGACTTTAGCTTCCTCCTCAATGTCACCTACGGACCGATATCTCTCATTTCCAGTTCACAGCGTAAGTCTGTTTATTCACCACTATCGAGTTAGAGAAGACAGTCATTGATAAAAGACTGTAGTCGCCTGTTGGAAATGGTTCTTATGACGTGCGCAATCAGTCTCCAAACCGTATAGAAACACTGATTTAACATAAGTGTCGAAAGGAATTCGGATGTTGTTTCTTATGCTTAGTGCAGTAGTTTACGACATTGATTTCAGAGTAACAGGGGTTAATCATGCATTTTCGATCCTAGCTGGCTTTGACATCCTTATCTGTAGTTTAAGCGGTGCTACCTAGAAAAGTCAAAGTGGTGACGTCGCCTGTTATTGATGTTGCTTGTTGTTGTTATCTTCATCATCCCTATCTTTTCTATGTTCACCTTTCGTGAATTAAATGACCCGGAAGAAAACTTTTTGGTGTTTCCAATGATAGATGCTGGGTTCCAGTCTCTTTGAGAACACCGAAACTCATTGAAGATTGCATGTTCCTCCAGATGACAAGTCTCATATCAGACGAAATGCTCATCCTGAATTCCGTCACTAGTCAACAAATACTAAATAACTTGAAATCTCTCCTAGTTCACTATTTAACTAGCCGGTTATAAGCCTGGAAAAACGGGGACGCCTGGTTGTGCGGCTAGCAACACCATAGGAACTTGAAAGCACAGAAAACCAATATGACGAGATCGCCTCTATTTAAAAGTCTTGTGAGCGACTACAGGATTTCATCATGAGCTGACATCGGTTAGAGAAAATCATTAGAAAACCAACAAGGAGTACTGGCCAGCTAGCTGTTTTGTCAGCCTAATTCGAGAATCCTCAGCAGTACGCACTCAACTCCACGGGTCGAACTCAGGACCTTCCAGTCAAAAAATGAGCTGTCAGACCCTACCTAATGGCCAGCCCATGAATCCCAACTTCTGCCAGTTCACAATATAGCACGACTGGCACTAGTTAGTGTCACTGCTGACGAGTATTCCTCCTCACATCCTACCTTCTGTACCCCACTGGTCACAAACAGTGTCAGGTCATGATGAAATCCTGTAGCCAATCAAATCCCTCTAAACCGACACTTGAATCTCGTGAATAAATTAGCTAGGAAATTGTAACATTCTACAGTTAAAATAAAAAAACACTTAAGCTGTTTACTTCTTTCAATATTATCATAAAATATGATGCACTTTTAAGGCATTCAAGTATTTAAGTGGAAATGCTGTAATAAAATCAAAATAAATATACATGACATTCTGTCCAAAAGAGCTATTAGCATGTCACAGATCACATGGATTTGTGAATTAGGATCACGTTGTTTTTATTAGAAGAAAAACTGACACTGTTTATTTAAAGTGATTTTTCTTAAGTGGATTTGCAAACTTTACGAAATAGTATCATGATGATGCTTAGCTGAGAAATCAGATGGTATTAATAAGCACAACGCTTGATTCAAGGTCTAAACAGAAAATACGGTTTAGATGACCCAAGTTCTAGGAAGTGTTTAGTCCGCTTCATATTTCCCCCTGACTGTGTGTGTAGATTACAGAAATATATACACTGAGGAGTTTGTTAAATGTCATCACATGCTAGACAGGTCTAAGAGTAAAAGTCAAATCGGAAAGGAAAGATGATTGGGATATGTGTCCAAAGGTAACCAAAATAACCATCCACAGAACTTCATCAACAAAATCAACGTATTCCGAAAACAGGGACACCCTCAACAGTTGTCATTCCATATAGATCAGAAACGTCAGATGATGGATATCAGAAGAGTACTCAGTGAGCGAACAAACTACAGACCTTCATTAACAGCTGTCTTCGCTCAATACTCAAGATCAGATGGCCGGCCAGAAAAGATCAGAAACAGGGATCTCTGGCGATGAGCGAACCAACCAGGAACTGATTGTGTAACAAATATGCAAGAAGAAATGGAGATGGATTGGCCATACTTTGAGGAAACAATGCATCAAGTGACATCACTAGAGAAGCCATTGCTCGAATGGAACCCGACAGAGTGGGAAGCGGTGAGTTGGTCGTCAGTGCAAGGGTGACTTGGAGGAGGTCATGTGAAGAGGAGATGAAAACATGTGAGCAGACTTGGAGCCAGGTGAAAACTCTAGCAGAGAACCGAACGCAATGGAGACGCACGGCTGAAGCCCTATGTTCCTCTAGGAATTAAAGGAAACAATAATAATAGTAATATAATAATACTCAGTGAGCACAACATCAGAGTTTTCTTCAAAACATCAGACACAAACACACACACTACAAAGCAGTCTTTTCCATGCAAAAGACCAAATTAGTCTCAGTGTACTTGTGTCTAAAAAATAAAATGCTTGCTTAGAATGTGATGCGATATACATCGGACAAATATAGCCAGAGAGAAATCAAGGTAATCTGGAGAAAAGAACACAGCAGAGCCACCTCTGTTCAACCACCGAGAAGTCCAGTTGAACTGGAAAAGCTTGAAAAATCATCAGCCATAGGTCTACACGCTGCGCTATAGAATTAGGCCACAAAATTGATTTTGAAAATATTGAAATAATCCAGAAAAATTTCAGAAATCACAAAAAACGTCTCAAATCATCAGAAGCACTTCATATTATCAAATGGAATACAAATTGTCTGAATAGGAATGATGGACTAAGACAGAATCTGACCTGGTTACAACACCTCACTCCCCATGAAGTGACAAAATCAACACGAATGTGATAAGCAATTTCATTATGCAAACACATGCTGTCTTTATAATTTTACACACTTATCAAATCCAGCAATCTACACATGGTTTTTTTATCTTCACCAATTGGCCGGCTTGACAACCCAGTAATGACCCCATGCTGATGAACGATGATTAAGTTGTTACATATAAGCTGAGATTTTGTAAATTCTGGTTTGATATCACTACTTTGATAAAGCTATTAGCCGCAGCATTAAATACCGAAACGTCAGTAAAAACAACAATATTGTTTTGTTTTTCATTCATTCAATGGGAAATACAAAAATAACTTTCATAAAAATGAATATCATATACCCAATGCCCAAATTTTTTCAAATTGTTAAAAGGGAACTTGGTTTGGACATATATATTACTTATTTTTTTATTATAGCTTGATCCTACACAGTATCTTTGATACAAGTATTGAATTTTCAGCATGTGATATCGGTAGCCCAAATTAAGTAGGCCTACCATTGATATCAGATGCGCGTCAGCTGGGGATCGAGCCCTGGGCCATGTGCATGGTTGGCGAGTGTGCTAACCGCTGTGCCATCGACGCACAAATATATATCATAACATAATCCATTAAGCATAAACATGTATATACTCTGATGTATTGCAAATGACGTTGAGTCCTTTAAAGTGTGGCTGCTACTGTGTGCATTTGATCCTGTCTTGTTGTTCTGTTAATTTTTAAATTAATTTAAAAGGAAATTTTGTGGAGCATTGAAGTACCAACTACTATACTGACTAACCTCCATCTCTATGAAACTGTAGACTGCGTAGCATTCACGTCTTTACGATGATAACTAGACGACTTTTGATCCTTTACAGTACACACATCGTTTCAAGACGTCTGAACTGAACTAGCCTGACTGAAAGACCGATTTTTATTCAAATTTCTAATCATCAATTTCACTCATGTATATAAATGAAGCAAGAAAGTTGTGTGAGTGAGTGACTTGATATGATTATGAGTGGCAATAGTTTGTACTCGAAACGTGGTCATCAGTTAATATTACTGTATAACAACACTGTGTGTGATTTTACCAAAATAAAATCTTATCTGTAATGGAGTTATACTCTACCACCACAGTGCCCAAGTTTTATACTTATATCAATAATACAAAGGTAAAGAAAAGAGAGGAAAGGATCCTATTGAGCACATATGTTCGGGAGAAAGGATAGTAGCTCGAAAAAGTATAAGGGTTTGATGAAAATGGGATGTCATAAGGAGTGGATGTATGTTGGGCAGTGATAATGATTTTGATCCATATCGCCAGCTATCTTTCCCTATTGATTCTGAGTATTCTGAGAACCCCTACAACACAGTTTAAACATTCCTATTTGGATATCTAGCTCAGAGATTTCACGGATCTAAGCAATGTTTGTATTAGACCATACCTGACTTTCTAAACCTAATCCCATTTGGAGGAAGGCAGTAGATCAACATGCAGTCCCCCGAAACAGATATTTCAAATGTCATGATACGCTGAATACTCTTTGTAGGCATTTACATAACATATGGTGTTTTCAACATAAATGCCAAGTCAGTAATTCTGCATGCTTCAGAGACTTGATAATTTACCAAAAGTATTTTCTACAAGCTTCAGATTTGTATCAACAGATGACCTCGCTTTCTTCATACTGAAGATAAGATGGCTGACCAGAACAGTTTCGCTAAAAGCATATCTGGAGTGGACATACACTGCGGGAACTGTTTAGTGACATCACGCGCCAGTCCCTCAAGTATAACCTGAAAGGGCGACGACGAGTTGGATGTGGGTTGAAGTGTAGATTGAAGGAGATTGTGTGAGGATGAGATAAAAGCTTGTAAGCAGTTATAGAGCCACCTAAAGAAGAACCTGATGAACATGATGAAATAGAAATGCACTGTTTATACTCGGAACCCAAGGGATTAATAATAATAACAATGTTATTTATCAAATGCAGAGCTTGGAATGGTAGTCAGTCAGCTCTCTACCTCACTCAACTTCATTCACTTTGAAAAGGCTTTCAGTAAACAGCGTTGATCGAGAGGTGATTTGGAAACTTCGCCGCTACTACGAGGTGCGATCAGCAATTATACACCTTATCCAACAGTTGTACGATAATTTTGCATGACAAGTTATCCACAACGGAAAACCCACAGAATCTTTCGAAGTGAAGATGGAAATAAAAAAGGCTGACTGATTGCCTACTATCTCCAATGATTTTTCTGATTGCTGTAGACTGGATAATACGACAGACAGAAAGCGGCGGTAAACGAGGAGACAGGCATAAAATGAACCCACACAAAACACCTGGAGTATCTGCACTTTGCCGATAATATATGTCTGATTTCCCACAAACTGGAAGATACACAAGTGAAAGGCAACAAGTTGACGATAGAAGATGCATTCAGAGAAGACAGGACTTCATGTGAACATAGAGAAAACAGATGTGCTGATGAAGATTCCTGGCCAACAGCAACAGCCACAGCAACAACAGACAACAATCAGCCAGCAAAAATGGGAGAAATCTGAAAGAAGCAACTTCATTCACCTACCTACCTAACTAACTGGGAAGCATCGTTTCAACTATAAGTTGACGGAAATGATGAGGATATGAAAGCGAGGATCGGGAAACCAAGGCAAGCACGTTTTCATTACTCGCAAGTCTGTGTGGAGGTTAACACCACTCAACATGGAAAGCAGGATCCGAATTTTAAAATCCAATATAAAGTCAGTGCTACTTACTATATGGATCACAGACTTGGCGGCGCGCCGCGTCACGAAGGCACTTCGAACAAACCACAGAGACTTTCGTCAACAGCTGTCTTCGCTCAATAATACTCAAGATCAGATAGCTGACAAGAAAGGATCAGCAATAGTGAGGTATCTCTGACAATGAACGAACCAACCAACTCAGCAGGAACCAATTGTGCAACGAATATGCAGGAAGAAATGGAGGTGGATAGACTGGCCATACTCTGAGAAAAAAAACCATCAAGTGAGTGACATCACACACTAGGCCATCACCCAAGTGGAAACTGAATAGGAAGCAGCGAGTTGGTCGTCAGTGCGAGGGTGCGGTGACATAGAGCCAGGTGAAAACGTTGGGGGAGAACGGAATGCAATAGAGACGTGCGGCTGAAGCTCTTTGCTCGTCGAGGAAATAAATGAAGCAATAATAATATTTTTCGAATGATATTACAGAACAATAGTTTCTTGCATAGAGGATATCTTCAATCTACTATAACATCACAACTTACCGCATCATCGTGATAAACCAAGACAGCTTCATCAACAAGACCACATACTGTCAATTTCATTTTAGTTGGCATATCCGATTTAATAGTGATCACATCATCCAGCTCATGTCCTTTAATAGCATATCGGTTATCTCTAAAAAAAATAGCAAATTAACTGATAACAGCTAATTCCAGGGACTTACATAACTTCTTTTTGTAAGCCTAAGACATCACAGAATTTCTCCAAAGTGATACGACCAGTGGATTCAGGATCAAAAAGAGTTTGCCAACGCTGTAATAAATAAATGGACAAGAAATAAGGTTGACTGAAATTTTACAAAATATAATACATGGTCAATGAAAGACAAAAGCGAAATTTGTGAAGTATTAGATGGTTGTATGTAGTCGGCAGGAACCTCCAGACGTGGGTTTCGTCCTTGCTGGGACTCGTCAACGAGGTGTACCTGCAACACTGAGGGAATTAATGAAAACAAAACACGTAGATCAGCGAAAAGTCTCTTTTCAGCGAATTCATTTTCTTAGCTGTACAATTGTAAATATATATACTAGTTATTTTGTATGCATGTGTACAATAAGTTTATCAAACAAAAATACAATTGATTATGGTTATTTTTAACCAAACAGGTGAAGATTGGTGATTGGAGTTACGTAATACAAAACCAGTCAAGAAAATTAGGTGTTAGTGAAATTAGGGCAGTAACAAAGGTGATGAGTTGTCACAAACAGTTGTTAAAAAAGGACGTTATGTAATAATATGAATAGTTTGATGAGTGAGTTTTACTCAGGATGCACATAGGAACAAAGTAGAGAATACGAAATTACGTAAGAGTTCTGAATGAATACGAGAATTATAGGTAATTAAAGAACAGGCAGAGAAACAAAATTAAGTCATCAAAATCAAAAAAGTCAAATCAAATCAAAAAAGTTACCAAGACAGCAGAAGTGGTTGAGTAATCCTCTTTTGTATGCACAGCTCTGGTTTTTCTATGTGAATGGACAGAGCTTCAGTGATACAAAGAAGGCGAAACCGTATTGCCTTTGATAGATTGTTCTTGAGGAGTGCGATAATTGAACATCTAGTTAACACTGATCATTCCATTTCAACAAACGCCTGCTTCAAAGTAATCTACAGAGTCATGAAAGCAAACGTACGGGAGGCTGATTGCTTGACTGACTAATTTACACAGATGTGCAGCAGTTCCAGTTGTCACACTCCCTCCATGTAGCACACAAAGCAAGAGAATACAGTAAGGAGATATTCAAAAGCGAGATAATAAACAGAAGTATGAGTAAGGGAAACAGAATAGTAATAGAGAAGAACAATAAAAATTTATTTGATATGACTGGTAAATCACAAAGAGTGAGTTAATGCATCTGCGCCAGCCATTGAGAACGATCACTTTGAGCCATATCACCAATTGTCTACAGTTTTCATTGCTTCTTACCATCTCGTGGACCCTAACCAGTCAGACACTTCCCTACGTGGCTGTCTGGATGGCTGGCTCAAACTTTATATTTTTAAACTACGGTTTTGTGATTTGATATATATTGACGAATAATAAGGGAAATCTAAGAATTAATTAACATTCAAAATCTATTATTATTGATATTAAATGGTTGGAGGCAATCAGCCACAGGAAGCCTTGCTTTACCTAGGTTTCCTGTTGGTTGACACTCATTAGTTAGTCAGCAAGGCGTATCTGCAAACTTGATGTCGAGTCATCTAGACAGCTGGCCACACTGCAAACTTGACTGATGTGAATATATATGTGTAAAACTTGGGCACTGTGGTAGTAAGTAATTCCTGTGGAGCCTTTAAAACAAAACAATTTAGTTCATCTAATGCCCTATCAGCAATGATTGTCAGGTCAAATATATAGGTCAAAGTAGTAGAACAGGTGCAGTCAGACTAGCTGAACATAAAAACTTAGCAAAATCTAGATTAGTTGACCCGAATAAGATAGGGCATCTGGAGAATAGTTCCGTTATAGCACCCAATGCATGCAATTACGCACAACCATACAATAGGATGGGATAAGATGACAGTTTTAAAGTCTAGCGTATCAGCAGGTTAGAGGGAGAGATCGGTAACAGAAGCTTTATTTGTTGAACCAACTGCAAATATGTTTAATAGGAATGATTCAACACCTGTCCACTCAGATATCTGGAAAATTCTACTACCCTAACGACGACAAATAGGAGAGAACAAAGAAAACTATAAAACTCAAGTTTCGGAGTCATGTGATTATAACTGATAATGTGATTATGAGCAATAATGTATTGTGTTCGAAACCTTGTCATCCAGTAAATAATACTGTTTCACTCACTGTGTGATACATCTAATAAACAAACCAATATGGAACTGACTGATAAAACAGAATTCAGTCTGCACCAAACATTACACTAGACACTGACGAGTGTCCAATCAGAGTATTCATAATCTATATTAAACTTATAACTTACATCAAGCATTGTCTCCTCGACATCATTCTCTTCGGTATATTTACGCAGTTCTGGCATAGTAATCCATCCTAAATAAATTTTAAATAAAAAAATAAATCAGGTTATAAATTTTATCCTCAGAAAATACGTTGTACTGAAACAAAGAAATATAAATTTGATAAGTGTAGCGTTACTCACTGAATCAGATGAGAATATGCGCACTAAAAGGGATTCAACACCTGTACACTCAGATGACTGGACATTTTATCATCCAGTAAATAATATCTCTTCACTGTGTGATAAGTTCGTCGGTGGCACGGCGGTTAGGATGCTCGCCGACCATGCATATGTGCCGGGGTTCAATTCCCGGCCACCGACACACTCCTTTATCCTCACTAAGCCAGTAATTAAGCTGGTAAAGAGGAAAGGTTGGGCATGAGGCTGGCTAGCAACCTCATCCTGTAAAAATAATCACCACTGCTACCGAAACTTCAGGCCTCTAGCTTGAAGCCGCCCTATGTTTCACTGGGAACGTGAAGGAATAAAAATAATTGTGTGACAGATTTAAATTATTATGAAACGACATACTGCTATAATGATCAAGTTTTATACGTTATACAAATTTCAAATGACTAATATGACTAGTTACAGGATTTCATCATGAGCTGATATAGCCAACTGTTTCGTCCTAGTTTGGGACTCTTCAGAAGCATGCACCCATCGCTACAGTTTGAACCCAGTACCTTCCGGTTACAAGCCAGCAAGCAAACTCGTAAACCTTTAAGTCACTGGGACCTGACGATCTAATCGCCAGCCCATGAATTCCAACTTCTGCAAGTTCACGACATAGCGCAACCGCTAGCCAATGTCAAAGCAGGCGAGTATTTGTCCTCACACCTGACCTGCTGCACCTTACTGGTCACGATGTCTCACTAGAACCCCAGGTAACTGCCTACCTGAACAAGACCAGTCGCTAGTGAACATCTCATTGATTTTCAAGTATTGTTATAAAGGAAATAATACAAAAGAACTTGGTGAGCAACCCCATTTCCTTCTATGAAGTAACATAGATCGAAACCACTTAAAAACAACGGTTCAACATTCAAAAATTGAAAGACGAAATTCACCTGCATATGTAAACAATATATCGCAGAGTGATAGAAGTGAGAATTCATCGGCCATTGGATTTGGTCCACATGGGCAAGTAGTCAATAGGCCCACTTCATAACCTGACGGCTCTGAACACTATCTCCGGTGGAATTATAGTAGAGTACCGCTGATAAGCTTCAAACAAGGAGTAAACAACCCCCTATTACTCTTTGGTTTTCAAATCAATTAAAATCATCTAGAGAATCATTGAAAATCAGTGAGCACTATGCAGATGCTTTCGTCCTCGTTTTTGCGCACCTTCATCAGTGTACACCTATGATCCCACTGGGCACCGAATCGAAGACCTTAGGTTACACAGCCAGCTCACTGAACATTCACCCAGTGGGCTGGAATTCATGATATGGCACTATCGCTAATCGACTACTCCACCTTGCCAAGGTGGACACCACCGACTGCAAATTCTCATTAGAACTTTGAGACATCTATTATATTGGCTTAATTAACTGTGTTGAAGGCCTTCATTGTTGTGAGTGAAAAAGAAATTACTCAGTTACTCCATGCATCTTATCTAATTATAGTGAATTACACTAATATTTCTAATTTAGGCATATATCATTTATACGTATCATATATCTGATACCTCGCAAACATTCTGACTGAAGCACATTATACATTTTTCCCCAAAAAAATTGCAATTACCAAGGAGATTATTTCAAATCTATAGCGTTACCAATGTTATCCTTTCAACTAGGTTATAAAAATAATTGTGAAACTAATAATGACAACAAAAATAAAGGAGAACATAAGACATCTACAGTAGTTTTACCATATAAGGAGGGGACATCTGAGACCCTACGTAGGATTCTCTATAAAAGCAGGAATTAGGGTGGCATTCAAACCTACAAACTCATTCGGATAGGATAAGTTCTGTAGGCCAAAGGACCCGGTGGACCCAATCAAACAAAATAAAATCATTTACAAAATACCTTGCAATGACTGTGAGTTGAGTCAACTACATAGGTCAAACTAGTAGGTCGGGGGGAGTCAGATTGTCAGAACACAAGAATTTAGCTAGGGTTAGAATGATTGATCCCACGAAGATAAATGATTTAGAAAAAACACTCAGCAATTGCACTAGATACATTAAAACACAACCACACAATGGTGTGGGTGGGAGAGGGTTAAGATTCTAAGAAGTAATCCAGCTAGGTGGAGAGAGAGATTGATTCCTGAACCCTGCCTGGTTCATTGAGTCTACACCCAAAACAACACATGCAATAGAAATGACTCAATGCCAATACCAGAAATATGAAAGATATTATTACCACCAGTCAGTCAAATCAGAGGAGGATAATAAATAATCTTAAAATTCTATTTCAATTCAAGCACATCACAACATTCTAACAAGTTACTTATTATGACTATAAAAACACTCGTCTCATTTCCCATCTGATTGTATTTGATTGACAACACTCATATTAGGATTATTATTTCTGAATGTACATTATCCTACATCGATTTCTATTCAAATGTTCAATCAATTCCACACATGTATATGAATGAAGTAAAACGTTGTGTGAGCAGCAGTAAACTGTGCTCGAAACGTGGTCATCAGTTAATATTACTGTACAATAAACACTGTGTGTGATTTTATCAAAATGAAATCTTATCCATAATAGGCCCTAAAGGATGAATCACATTCTGTGGAAGAGATGGTAAAGTACTAACGGACAGCACTGTTAATTTTGAAAGAGGATAAAACTAAGGTGGTAGTATTAAAACCAACCAATTCACTCAGAGATAAACTTTGTGTGTGTGTGTGTATCTTAACGATCTGATAAATCTAGTTGGCGAAAATAACGTAATATTACCAAACGCCATGTAGTGGCTGTAACTGAGGTTAATCACATAAATGAAACTAGTAGATCGAGGTCAGTTACATTATTATTAGGACATTGGAATTTATCTAGATCTTGAGTAACTCACCCTGAAAGGTATTCACTTGCACGTAATCATACAACATGGTAGGATATGGCAAACGTTAGTAATGTAGTTAGCTGGACAGACAGACAGAGAGACAGACAGACGGAAAGCGAGGTTTGTCATCACTGAATCTTTGCTTATCGAATCAACACCATACATGTCCAGTCGAAGTGATGTAGCACAAATAATAAAAATTAAATTACAAAAGGGAGTAGAGCCGTATAAAACAAGTTATCAAGTTTTGCGAATCCATTGTTGTGATGATTATGAGCAGCAATAAACTGTGCTCAAAAGGTTATTCGTTAATTAATACTGTTTCATCAGTGTGTGTGAGTGTCACATACCGAATAAATTTATCTAATATGGAATAGTAGCTTAAAAATCCCCAATGAGTCATATGAAAAAGAGAAGACGTTCAGCGAAGGGACTCTTTACGACGGTGAATTCACTCACACAGCTAGCTGTACAATCGCATTTGTATCCAATTGTTTGTGTGTGTGTACATGAGGTTTATCAGGTTTAGATAATTAATCAGGTAATACAAGAATGATCTAATGTAGATGACGTAATATAACTGACAAAAATGTTTCAACTTAGGTTAGGATAATAACAGAGGTGATTACAGGTAGAGACTGAGTTGAGGTGGGGTAGAGAATAATGCCATTTAAATTGGGACTAAAATTGAGCGAATAAATTGTATGACGTAACATGAATGACTAGATATTGAGTGTTGGTCAAGTCAGTAACAGTGTTAATGAGGTGTAGAAATTAAATCGGGTAGGGGTAGAGAACAGGAAAGTTGAAAATGTAAAATATTACAATTGAAAAGACAAAATAATACTAATGAAGATACAGAAAGAAAGAAATAGAATTTATCTGTCAGGTATTTATATAGATTTCTTCGAATACGTCATCTAATTTATTTGCTCAATTTTAGTTCTAATTTAAATGGCATTATTCTCTATCCGACCTCTACGTAGTCTCTACCTATGATTACCTCTGTTGTTATCCTGACCTAAGTTGAAACGTTTTAGTCAATTATATTGCGTCATCTAACTTACTAACCCAATCTTACTTTAATATATGTGTAAAACTTGGGCACTGTGGTAGTAAGTAATTCCACACTAGTTTGTTTATTAAATGTATCACACAGTGAAACAGTATTATTTACTGGATGATGTTTCGAACAAAATTTATTGTTCATAATCATATCAATCAATTATAATCACACGACTTCGAAACCTGAGTTTTATAGTTTTCCTTGTCCTCTCCTGTTTGTCGCAGCTATGCCTGACTTCCACAGTATTTAAATTCCAAGGAAAAATATACAAACAAACTGAGAGAGTTACCATGGGGTCATCAATATCCCCGGTTGTGGCAGATTTATTCATGGATAGGTGGGAAAACATAGCAGTTGAAACGTTCACCTCCACCCCACATCAAAGTATGGTGGAGGTATGTAGATGACACATTCACTGTACTCAGAACACGGGATATAGATAGATTTTTCGAACAAATTAACTCGAAGGCAGAGGCAATTCAATTCACTTATGAATTAGAAAGTCAGGAAGGGGAACTGCCAATGTTAGATTGCAACGTAAAACGGGAAGAAGATGAGAAGTTAAACACACTAATGTGTTTACAGGAACCCCACACATTCAAACAGATATTTGGACTTCCGATCATCCCATCCTGTGTCAGTGAAAATAGGATTGGTGAAATGTTTAGGTAATAGAGCACAAAAACGAAGTAGTACCAAGGAAAATCTAAGACAGGAAGTGATACATATAAGAGAAGCCTTGAAACTTAATAATTTCCCTGATAAATTAATCAGGAAATATGTAGGGAAATGTAAAAATAAAATAAATAATTATAAAGATAATAATGATAATAATATTAATGACGACATGCATGTCAAACATCCGCAAGACAACACCAACAATAAGGAATCTAAATCATCAGTAGTAATTCCATACAAGGAAATAACCTCAGAAACCTTCCACAGAATTCTTAACAATGCAGGAATAAAAGTGGCTGGCATTCTAACCACCCACATGCTCAATTACAAACAAGCTTTGTCGATTAAAGGATCCTGACAGTGGAGCCTTTAAAACAAAACAATTTAGTTTATCTAATACCCTGTCTGCAATGATTGTCAGGTCAAATACATAGGTCAGACTAGTAGAACAGGTGCAGTCAGACTAGCTGAGCACAAAACCTAGCAGTAAAATCTAGACTGGTTGACCCGAATAAGATAAGAAATCTAGGGAATAGTTCAGCTATAGCACTACATGCAGTTACACACTATCACACAATAGGATGGAATTGGATGACAGTTTTAAAATCTAATGTCACAGGATAGAGGGAGTGATTGATAGCTACAGAAGCTTTGTTTATCGAATCAACTGCAAATACATGTAATAGGAATGATTCAACACCTGTCCACCCAGATATCTGGAAAATTCTACTTCCCCTACGACTAATAATAGGAGAGGACAAAGAAAACTATAAAACTCAAGTTTCGAAGTCATGTGATTATAATTGATGATATGATTATGAACAGTAATAAATTTTGTTCGAAACCGTGTTATCCAGTAAATAATACTGTTTCACTCACTCTGTGTGATACATCTAATAAACGAACTAATATGGAATCAATCTTACTTTAGTTGTTGTCCAGCTAACCTTGTTTCTATATTAGATCATTCTTGTATCACCTAATTAATTGTGCAAACTTGACAAACCTCACGTGTGCACACACACAAAATAATTGTAAATATATATGATTGTACAGTTAGCCAGGTGAATGAATTCGCCGTCGAGAAGAGTCTCTTCTCTGAACGTCTTCTCTTTTTAATATGGAATAATATTCCACTGCAGGAATACTATAGAATCAGTGAGGAGATCTAATGTACTCCGCAAAAAAAGACAACATCACCCGATTTTTTCGCTCTGATGTCAGTTAAGTCAGTTTTTTATATGATTCATGGACATGATGCACGTATCACGAAAAAGCATGTCCAACAGACTACTGCAGGATTTCATGGCCAGTTGGTCAGAAACGATATGCAACAGCCTATTATCCAACATATGTACTACCCAAAGAAATAGAAATCGATAGAAACAAATATACTGAGAAGACCATAAGGTGTCATCGTACACCCGGCCGTCGAGTGACAAACGACGAAAGACTTCAAAGAACACAATGAAATGGTGACGTCCTTCTGAGGATCTATGCTTCACACTATCCAAAACCCTATCCCCACATTAATTATTGCCATTGGTTTTTACGAGTTGATCACGGATTATTATCAGTTAGAGAACTATTGGAAAACAACACGGAGTACTGGACAGCTAGCTGTTTCATCTTAGTTTGGGAATCATCGGCAGTAGGCACCCACCCACAGGGGGTTCGAACCCAGGACCTTCTGGTTACAAGGCAAGCTCGTATACCATTCAGCCTTGTAACCGGAAGGTCCTGGGTTCGAATCCCAGTGAGTACGTACTGCTGATGATCCCCAAACTAGGATGAAACAGCAGCTGTCCAGTACTCCCTGGTTTTCAATGGTTCTTTTTTTTCCTTCACGTTCCCCAGTGGAACATAGGGCTTCAAGCTAGTGGCTTGAAGTTTCTGTAGCAGTGTTTACTTTACAGGATGGGGTTGCTAGCCTCATGCCCAACCTTTCCTCTTTACCAGCATTATTTCTGGCTTAGCGAGGTAAAGGAGTGCGTCAGTGGCTGGGGATCGAATCCCGGACCATGTGCATGGTCGGCTTGCATGGTTCTTGAACTGATATCAATCCATGATCAACTCGTAAAAACATAACTAACCCTTACAAACCAAACTAGAGAAAAGATTGCCATTGATGTCAATGATAGTCAAATTGCCCTTACCTTTTCTTCTCTTATCAATCATAAAGTAGACTTCAGTAAATCCATCCATTCCGCTGAAAATCCGACTACAGTAATATTAGTAGTGGTAGTACTGTTGATATAAAAGCCTTGAAACTCGTCTGTGGCCCTTTTTTAAATCCCAACTCCTGTTTAAATCATCTTTTATCCAGTGTTGGTCCGTTTGTTGATACTGTTACTATGTGAGTGTGCGTGTGTGTTTGTAATTCGCACAATCAACCAGTAAGATGTACTCAAATGGCATGTTTACATGTTCATACATGCACACTCATACACACACAAACAGAGGCAGACAGGTAAGTCAAGATCAGAAGATTAGATCAATAAACAAATCAAAATCGTTATGATCATTCCATATCACTTTGTTTATTAGATGTGTCACACACACAGGCAGTGAGTGAAACAGTATTATTATTACTATTGTTATTTACTGGATGACACAGTTTCGAACACATTTTATTATTAGAAGTTAATTAATTGGTGGGTGCGCATTTCGTCCTATTCGGGACTCGTCATCCGAACGCATCTGCATTCACCAGTGAGTGAGTGAGTGATGATGTTCCCGAATTTAGTGCCCACAGTTTCAAACGCCAAAGGGTTACCCACTGGACCACTTGGGCCACGGTGGGAACATCATCAATTACCTACTACGGAATGCAGGTATATCCAGCCGGAGAACGAGTCGCAAATAAGACGAAATGCTCATTCTGACTGGATTCAACTGTTAGTCACCATCCACCAATCAACTTCTAATTACTTGCCCAGACATCGTCGAAGCATCTGTACAAGAAGCCGACATGTCAACCTGAGACGGAACACTTTGGTCCAATCAATATAAAATTAAATTAAACAAGTCATTATTGTTCATAATCATACCATCAATTATAGTCACACAACTTCGAAACTTGAGTTTTATAGTTTTCCTTATTCTTTCCTATTTGTCGTTGTAGGAGTAGTAGAATTTCCCAGATGTCTGGGTGGACAGGTGTTGAATTATTCTTATTATACGTATTTGCAGTTGATTCGATAAACAAAGCTTCCGTTGACATCAATCTCTCCCTCAACCCTTCTGTTACATTAGATTTTACGACTTTCATCCTGTGGAGCCAATTAGACAAGACAATTTGTTTTATCTAATACCCTGTCTGCGATGATTATCAGGTCAGATACATAGGTCACAGTAATAGAACGGAATCAATCACACTGGCAGAGCACAAAACCTAACAAAATCTATATTATTTGACCGGAATAAGATAAGAAATCTGGAGAATAGTTCAGCTTTAGCACTCATTACATGAAATTACACATAATAAACCATACAAGATCAAATGGTGGCCGGAAAGAATAAGTAACACGAACCAAAAAAGAGTCGATTGCTCAACCAACAAATATGTAGTAGCGAATGGAGATGGATAGAATGGGCATATGTTGGGGAGGCCATTGAATGACATCGCATGCAACGCAAGTCATCAATTGAGTGGAATTCGAATGGGAAGTGATGAGTAGGTAGTCGGTGTGAGGCTGACATGGAAGAGGTCGTGAGAGGAGGAGAAGGAGATGAAGAATTATGGACAGTGGTGTGGCTAATCAGCTGAAGACGACGGCAGAGAATAGAACGAAGTGTAGAGGTATTGTTGAAGCCCTATGTTCTACTTAGAACTTAAGGGAATAGTAGTGACAAATTTGAATGAAGCAAGAACAACAGTGGCGGATTGTGCAGAATAATATGATACCATCATTTATTGAAAGAGGGTGAGGTTAGAAACAAAAATTATAAAGATTTTAACCTGTAATTTTGCTTGTCTCCTGTTTCTATGATTTGAGTTGAACTCAGTACGTTGTTACCCAATCAATTATTCACTCAGCATCTTGCACACCTCTCATCTTTATTACATAACTCCTTTACCATTGTATGCATACATTTATTTTGTTTAAACTTGAACTGCCTGTGTAAAAACTATATAAGCGCAATTTTCTGAGCACTGTTCACTAACTGTGGAACTTTCTGTCAACTGGCATCATGTAAAAAATTTGCAAGTATGTTAAAACTTTTCTGTCCATAAACCTCATAATTTATTTAGTCTGTAAGCAGATGAGCTGATGAGAAGCCAACAAAATAAACAATGATGGAACCATATTATTCTGTACAATCCACACTGTTGTTCTTGATTCATTCAAATTCATCAAGGGGAATAAATGCATAAAGTAATGACAAAACTTGATCACAACCAAAATCATCTGAAGAGTCATTTGAAGTCGTAGAGGAATGAACAGTTTTTCGGTACTATTTTAAACCTCTTCAGCAGTGCGGACCATGATAGTATCGGGGCGTATTCCAACGCGGAACCTTATTCTGTTGCTTTTGCATTAGACATTGTGTATGCCATTACTTTCGTTCATGGCATTATTCCATGGAATTGAAGATGGTTTTCTGTTATAAACACAAGAAGATCTAACAGTGATGGGAATTTTCTTTCCGATGAATGATTTTCAAACACACTGTACAATTGCATGTATAATTCAACAGAGAATTAGTAAAACCAGATCAAATACTTGAACTCATGTTCCAAGAATTGTTTTACCTAATATGAAGTATCATCTAGAAAGGTATGTTACTACAGAATGAATGTATAAACGACCTAATCAGTCAAAAGATAGGTGGAATTAGGTGAGATGTTTAAATGATATTTGTATTAGAAATACAACAAGGAATATTTTTAATTCAATTTTAGATTTTCCCGTCGATTGATTGGACTGAAGTGTTCGATCTCAGGTTGACATGTCGGCTCCTTGTGCCGATGCTTTGACGATGTCTGGTCATGTAACTTGAAGTTGATTCGTGGATGGTGACTAGCAGTGGAATCCAGGGTGGGCATTTCGCCATATTTAGGACTCGTCGCCGGCTGGATGTACCTGCATTCCCACCGAGACTCCACCGCAGTACCCATAATTTCAAACGCTGAAGCGTTGCTCACTACACCACTTGCGCTACGAGAGCTACCTCTTGAGACGGATCACTTCGGTTCAATCAATCGATGGGAAAGTTTAAACTGAATCCAATAATTTATAAGACCTGTCGCACAAGAGGTGGCTGTCGTGACCCAAATAGATAACACTTTGGCGTTTCAAACTACGAGCACTGGGTTCAAGCCTTGGTGGTGGGAACACGATCACTCACTCACTTGGGAACCATATGATTAAAAGAAAATATGGCAAGAAGATTATCCTGGTCATGATAAGGCGAGTGGGCGTACATCATTCACAGAGCACCCAAATATCACCGATATGAATTTCAGATAATTCATTTATGCAAAGCAGAATTACCAACTAACTATTCATAAGCCTGAAAAAGACCTCTGCATTCATGAGTTAGCAGCAGCATTTCAACAGATGACAATAAAAGAGAATGCAACAGCATTTAAGTGTTGGTTTGTTGAGATTTGACTGATTGGCTACAGGATTTCATCACCAGCTGACATTGGTTGGAGAACCATTGGAAAACCAGTCAGGGAGTACTGGACAGCCGTTTCGTCCTAGTTTGGGACTCTTCCGCAGGACGCACTCGCTAGGATTCGAACCCAGGACCTTCTGGTTACAAGGCGAGCTCGTAGACCATCAAGCCACTGAGACCTGATCCAATGGCCAGCCCATGAATTCTAACTTCTGCCAATTCACAACATAGTGTGACCGCTAGCCAATGTCATCGCTGGCGAGTATCTGTCCTCACACCCGACCTGCTGCACCTGCTGCTGAAGAGTCTCAAGCTAGGACGAATCAACTGTCCAGTACTCCCAGGTTTTCCAATGGTTCTCTAACCAATGTCAGCTCATGATGAAATCCTGTAACGAAACAGTATTTATTTAATAGATTGACTTTACTGTAATTTTTTCTTATGCTTTCAAGGTTCTGTAGCGGTTGGATTGATTTTCTGGAGCTAGTCGCACGCCCAACCCTACTACTGTTTCTGGGTTTAGAACTGGTTTATAAACTAGGCGAGGTTCAAGACATCGCCGAGCGTTTACTAGACAGCTGTTTTGTCCCATTTAGAGACTCGTCATCAGTATGCACCTACGACTCCACTGGGGATAGAGATCAGGGCTGTTAGGTTACAGAGTGAACATGAGAAATATTCATCCACTTAGATATGGAGACTGTTTGTAGGAGAAATGAAAGCTTTCGATGAATGTTGGGACGAGCTTAAAACACACCGCAGAGAATAGAATGGAATGGTAATGTGCTGCTGAAGACATATTTTCCACTCTACACCAAAGCGCAAAATGTTAATATTCTTGTAATGAGGCACAAAAATCTGGCACAAGGTTTCGAATAGAATGTCAACAGAATCAAATGATTAGGATTAAAAAGACCGCTTTTACACTGAAAAGTTATAAACAGGACATCCACACTAATTTCAACTTAAAAATTACTTCCATGTAATGCATTGTGACGCCTATTACTCCAGGTGTTTACGATACACGATACGTTGGTGACACAGAGGTAGAATGTTTACCAATCACGCATGTGGTCTGCGGTTCGATTCCCGACCGACTCACACCCGAAATCAATAGTCGACCTGCAAAATTTGGGCAACTGATATCACATGCTGAAAAGTTCATACTTGTGTGAAAAATACTATATGAAGTCAAGCTATAGTAAAATAAAATAAATAATAAATAAATACAGAGCTTCTGCAGCGTATCACTATTTCTCTACAGTCCGTTTACGCTGGCTTTCATTTTTTCTCACCACAAGTCCTCCTCCATATCACCCTTGGACCACCGCCAAACTATTCTTTCCCATCTGGGCTTCACTCACAGTCATAACTGATACGTAATATTACTGAATAGTTTCTTCAGCTTGTATCCAACCTAACTGCACTTTCTTTGGAATATTTGCTGGGTTATGAGCTGTTGGTTGGTTTGTTATCAGAGATTCTTGTTGCTAAACCTCTCCAGCAATCTGATCTTCAGAATGGGGCGAAAGCAGATGTTGGTAAAAGTCTGCAACATCCTGTTGGAAATGCTTTTTGTAACGAATCAAGTCCTTGACTCATGAAGGACTGGCTTAACACTGGTTTTGAAAATCCGAATTTCATTCTTCATACTTTTCTTTATTCCTTTAATTTCCTAGTGAAACATAAGG